GGCCGATTAATCCCCCCCCCCCCCCCTTTCTTTGTCATCAAATTTACTGAATTATGGACAGAAATAGTTCTCTCTCGGAGATTGCAATTCTTACATTGAGAAGAAATTCGAATCTTGAATTGTAAACATCTTTCTTTAATGTTTTCTCATCTGGCAGTAAGGAGAGCTCCCAGAGAGATCGGGATATTCTACTAACAAAGAGATCTTGGCGGGAATTTACAAACAATATTCCGATCAGATGAAAATATAAGAGATATCAATACAATGTTTGTTACAAATAAACTCGTAAATGTAAAATGAATGGGATGAATTGCTGCAGACTAGATGTCCGCCTCCTCACATCCTCAGCGATAGATTGTCATTGTGCCATCAAAGTCCACACTGTCACTGTTCTAGTAGGTTGGGGTAAATGCTGCTGTCTCATCTACACCTTAAGCTGTCTCCCTGCAATGCATCGACTTTCTGCAAATCTCAGGATAATAACACTGTTCAACAGGTAAAAAGTTTTGGGCATAAAATTAGCTAATCTTACATAATTTTGGGGTGCTGAAAACGAAAATGACCCTAAAAAATGTTGATTGGCTCTAGTTTCCATAATATATTCACCCATCTAATGACGTAAGCCATTCAAAATTATGATGCAACTTCAGCTGCATATTGCGCAATTGATACTGGTGACCAATAGAAAGTTGCATGTATACTGAGATGATGATGCAATATTAGCCTTTAATTGCATCACTTCACTGCATAAAAGCTGCAGTATCTGTAGCTGATTGGAGTTCGACAGCACCCCTTTACATTTCGTTTTATGCTTATATAGGCTACTCAGTAATGCCTCGAACTTGTGTGAATAAAGCAGATAATTTCTGCTATATCTGCTGTGAAATAACTTTTATCTCACAAAAAAAGGAGGATAACAGGAATGATTAAGAAAGCCTACAACTTGTATTTTGGCTGCAAGATAGGAGACCAGGACAAGAGCTGGGCACCACATATATGCTGCAATTCTTGTGGGACGGCACTGGAGCAATGGTTGAATGGAAAAAAAGGCATCTATGCCTTTCGCTGTGCCAATGATTTGGAGAGAGCCAACAGATCATGTTAGTAATTGTTACTTTTGTATGGTGCCTCCAATTGTAAAAGGGCTAAATAAGAAGAAAAAGTTATCTGTGCACTATCCAAATATTCCATCGGCAATACGTCCAGTTCCTCATGGAGAGGGGCTACCAATTCCTAAAGCACCAGAATCCTTCGTGGTTGAGTCAAGTGAGGAAGAAACCCAGAAGCGTGTAGTCACGTGCAGTTGTAAGAGATAGCCCTTTCCTCGAATACAAGAGAAAAGCCAAGAGAAGCAAAACCGATACAAACTGAAGACAAAACTAGTGAGAATCCTAAGTATTAAAATGATTCAACTTAGCTTATGGCTATAATTTTTCTTGGTAATCCTATGCAATATATTATGCCATTTAGGCTTTGTTATGTAGTCAATATCACTTGCTTTATATTTGTGGAAAGACATCTATCTATATAATTATTGTGCATTATGTAGTCTTTACGCCTATAGTAGAAAACTTTCCGTTTACAGAAAAACTAGAGCCAATTGACAAATTTCATTGTTATATTTGAACTCAGAATGTGAAATTCATTAAGAAATGGATCCTTTTGTTTCCAAAACTGGCAAAAAATAAAAATTTGTTGAACAGTGTAATTAGTCTATATCTATTTGTGGTGATTGATTCTCACCACCTTGTGCCTTTCTGTGATCAGAGAATCCATCATAGTTTGACTTTGGCCTGTTTGGTTTATATAAGCCCCTCCCAAAAAAATTAATGTGATCCTTATTAATTCCTAATTGGGGCGGGGAAGAGTTGTTCCCTCCCTCCTAGATTGTAAACTCGAAAGAGCAGGGCCCTCGATCCCCTCATGTTTTGCATTGTATTGGTATTGTTCTGTCACATGTTCTGTCCCCCTTTGTAATGTAAAGCGCTGAGCGAACTATTGGCGCTTTATAAATACTGGATAATAATAATTTGATCATCTCCCTATAAATGTAGACCAGTTTATGGGGGAAGTCACAGATGGCTCTGTCCTGTGAGGGCATTTTTCTGGAGTGTGAAGTAGTGAACACAACAGGATAATTAAAGCAGCAGGAAGAACTCTACTGCACACTGGATGGGCTGCAGGCAAACACCCTGAGAAACGTCTACAAGTCTGATTCCCACTCCATGTACCTGTTTAATATGCCACCTCTTCTCATATTACTATCCTTTGCTCTCAAAATCTCCTTTTTTTATCCCCTCTGCTCCACTTCAATTTATACATCTCACTGCTACCATCTCCCTACTACTGCTAATCAGCTCCTGCTTTACTTTACTCACCAGCTGACCCAGGACCAGGAAGGCATGTGCACTCATATACATCCTGCTCCCAACTTACTTTCCTCACCCTGCTTCTCCTAACTTCTGGGGATATCTCCCCAAACCCTGGTCCTCCAGTATCTCACCCCCAACACCAGGCACCCTCCTTCCTCCAGGAATAGCTGCAATCCACTCAATTTAATCTCAATCCCCATGCTCCTAAAACCACCCCCCTTTTCCATGTGCACTCTGGAATGCCCGCTCTGTCTGTAATAAGCTCACCTCTGTCCATGACCTTTGTGTCTCCCACTCCCTTAACCTACAAGCAATTACAGAAACCTGACTTCAAGCAGAAGATTCTGCTTCTCCAGCAGCACTTTCCTATGGAGACCTTCTCTGGACTCACTCACCCAGACCCAGTGGTAGGAAAGGAGGTGGAGATGGTTTGCTTCTATCCCCACTGAGCACCTTTCAAGTCCTCCCTAACCCTCCCCCTCTATCCTCTTTCGAGACTCACTGCTTTTGGCTGTTTTCTCCCATTTCTCTGAGGATTGCAGCGATCCATCGGCCTCCAAAATTGGTGTCACCGCTTTCTTGATGACTTCTCTGCCTGGTTACCCTTTCTCCCCTCTGAAATACCCACTATCATTCTTAGGGATTTTAACATCCTCATTAATGTGAACAACCCGGCTACATCCCAACTCTTCAATCTTTTACCTTAACACAATGGACACAGTCCTCCACTCACTCTGATGGGAATACATTAGACCGTTTTCTCCCATCTTTGCACTCCCTACAACCTCACAAACACCCCCTTTCCTCTCTCTGATCACAATCTCATCACCTTCCGTGTCCTCATCTTCAAACACCTATCCCTCTGAACAGCAAACAATTACCCGCAGAAACCTTCACAACTTAAACCCTTCTCTTTTCCACTCTGCAATACTACTGCCTCTGACAATTTCTCTCCCGTCCTGCCCTGACCTGGCCACTGCTGTCTTCAACAGTTCGCTTTCATCTGCACTAGACTCACTTGTTCCTCTAACAACACAAAGTATCAGGACCCAACCATTACAACCGTGGCAGACTGACCACACCAGAAATCTTAAGCGACATAGTTGTGCACTGGAGCGATTGTGGTGTAAAACCAAATCTAGAAAGCTTTCACCCTGATATAAATCTGCTTTCCTAACATACAATTCATCCCTCCATGCTGCCAATCAAACCTACTTTGTCACTCTTATTAATACCTTGTCATCCAGTCCTCGTCTCTTCTCTACTTTTAACTCTCTACTTTCTCCACCCAGTACCTCACTCACTGCTTACAAGATTGCAAATCATTTCAAAAACAAGATTGATGCAATTTGTAGGGGCATCTCCACTACACAGACATCCATCCCACTTAGTATACCGTATACTAAACTTCCCTCAACACTTTCCTCTAGTGACCTTCTACTACTGAAGCCAGGTCAAAAAGTTTTTCTCAGAAGCCCTTCTTACCACCTGCCCTCTGGATCCTGTCCCTTCACAACTGCTACGTTCACCCTCTTCCATCCTATGCTCCCTCACTCACATCTTCAATCTCTATTCCTAACCAATGGTGCCTTCCCCTCCCCTCTAAAGCATGCACACATCACTCCCATATTAAAAAAAAAAAAAAAAAAAAAAAGCCCTCCCTGGACCCCACCAACCTGAATAACTTAAGACCCATCTCCCTGCTGCCATTTACCCCTAAACTCTTATAACACTTAGTGTGAGGTAGGAGCTCAGGCAATTGTACACTGACATCAACCTTCTTGACCCTTTAGTCTGGCTTTCACTCACTACACTCCACTGAAACTGCCCTACTAAAACTCACTACTACTACTAAAACTAACTGCTAAAACCAATGGCCACTACTCCGTACTCTTACTACTTAAAATCTCTGCGGCCTTTGATACTGTTGACCATCTCCTCCTCCTCCTCAAAAAACTGCACTCTCTTGGCCTCTGAGACTCTGCTCTCTCCTGGTTCTCCTCCTACCTATTGCAGCGCTCCTTCAGCGTTACCTATAACTCTGGCTCCTCCATTCCCTCAAGCAGGGGCGGACTGGCAATTCATCCCCCGGGCAATAGGGGATCATGGGGGCCATGTGTCCTTGCCCAAACTCAAAAAGCCTATGAAAAAGGTACCAGGGGCATCTCACGGGGCCCTCTACTGACCCTGGGCCCTCAGGCAGTGCCTGAGTTTCCAAATGGTCAGTCCGCCCCTGCCTTCAAGATGCTGTCCTTGGACCCTTTCTCTTCTCCATCTACACCTCCTCCCTTGGTCACTTGATAAACTCCCATGGCTTTAAGTACCATCTCTATGCTGATGACACACAAATCTATCTTTCCAACCCATTCACCCCTTCAGTCTCCTCTGGCATTGATCGAAGAAATGTGACTATCATACTTAGTGACATATCGGCATGGATGTCACTCCACTTTCTCAAACTCAATCAGTTTATTTCTATCAAATCTTCTATATCGGGGAAAGATGACATGCGGAGCAGTGTGCGCACCCAGCAATGCCGGTGTATGTATGGAGAGCTCTGTTGGGGGGAGGTGGGGGGCTCTGAGAAGAGCCTTTGGGGGGGGTGGAGATGAAGGAGGTCGCCGCCCATTATTTCTTCTTCGGAGCGGCCTTCTTGGGCTTAGCCGCCTTCTTAGCTGCCGGCTTGGCCTTAGCGGGACTCTTGGCGGCTTTTTTTCGGCTTGGCTGCAGTTTTGCTCTTCTTGGGGCTCTTGGTCACCTTCTTGGCTGCAGCCTTTGCTGGTCTCTTGGCGGCCGGCTTCTTGGGGCTCTTGGCTGCGGTGGATGATTTGCTGGCCGCCTTCTTCTTGGGAGACTTGGCGACCTTCTTGGGGCTCTTGGTTGCGGTGGTTGTTTTTCTGGTCACCTTCTTTTTGGGGGACTTTGCAGCCTTATTAGCAGCCAGTTTCTTGGGCTTGGCCTTGTCTTTGGGGCCCTCGGGCTGCTTCTTGTTGATCTTGAACGATCCGGAGGCCCCATGGCCTTTGACCTGGACGAGGCTCCCCTTAGTCACCAGCGCCTTGAGGGCGATCTTCAGGCGGCTCTTTTTCTTGTCCACATCGTATCCTCCGGCAGACAGGATCTTCTTCAGGGCGGCCAGGGACACCCCGCTGCGCTCCTTGGAAGCGGACACGGCTTGGAGGAGGAGCTCGGACACAGCGGGACCGGACGCCTTCTTGCTGCCTTGCTTGGCTCCTCCTCCGGCTGCCGCCTTCTTAGCCGGCTTCTTCTTGGCAGCGGTCTCCGCTGGAGGAGCGGCGGCTGGGGCGCTCTCAGTCTCCGTCATGACTCGGGAAATGTTTCCACAATAGTTCATTACAAATCACACGGCGCTCCGCCTTATATACAGACGTTCTAACACTGTGATTGGTTAACACAAAACTCGACTCTGTCCTGCTATTGGTTACACAGCGGACACGCCCACTGGCTTTCATTTCAGTGTTGGAGAATCTTCATTCTCTCATTGTGTTTCCCGGGCTGAGAGAAAAATTATTTTATTCCGAAATAGAACGATGTCCGATGTGCACCGGGGAGCCGATCTGCTCCCTGGACTGTCACTTATCGGGCGTCACTTCAAATTGTCAGGAGCTGCTCAGGAGGCTGAACACAGAGGCTGCAAACACAACCATCCTCCGGAGTGGGGGGCCCATTCTTCCTTCTACCTGCTTGGGGACACACCTACCCACAAAACAATCTTCTCCCATCCCCCACTACAATCCGCTTCATATTACAGGAGGGAAGAACCCTTGTCCCTCCCTCCCTTCCTAGCCCTTCCAGGCCTGTGCTCGGATCAAGGGTCTGGTAAGAACTTTGGGGAGACCCCACATTTTCGTCACCCATTTTTTGAGAAGAGGGGTTCCACTTAAAAGTCCTTTTAGGCCTAGTAGGGCTCTTAGGGGGCACCCCACACACTTTTTTATTTCTTACTTTGGGGTGCCTACTAACCTTCCTACCAGACCTAGAGGGGACCCCATGCTGTTAATTTTTTTAATGTAATTAAAAAAAAAAAAGTCAGTCCTTCTGCAGCTGGTTCTATTTATTGCACAGATGTGTAGCTTGCATGTAGTTTAAAGGGACCCCCCAGACATGATATTTAAAGGAATTATTGTTTACAATTTTCACTGATTCATGTCTCCATACCCCTTTTATGGCCAAAAACTTGCATATAAGCCTTCAAAATGGGCATGTTTGAATTTACAAATGAGTCCCATAGACTTTCATTGAGCTTGAAGTTCGTCGTCGAACATCTATTAGGTTCGAAAGTTCGACCGCAAACCAAACACAGGGGTGTTCGGCCCATCACAATTAACTTCTATTACCCAGCACAACAGTTCTTCTCAGAACCACCCACATCTCCATACACAATTCTATAAAACTCTCTTTATCAACCAATTCTGTCTCAGGGAGGAAAATCAGGAGATAGGAAAAAGGAGGAAAGCAGTAACTGACCATTGTAGATGTATGGCGTGGCGCCTCCCCCAAGTCCATTATCCTCAAGTTATGTTGATGCAAAATCTAAAATAACTAACTTTTTGTATGTGTTATAATTTAAATAAAATGGTATAAATCTTGAGTAATAATATATTATGCATGTTAATTATGACAATTATACATTCATAGAAAATGCTTTCAGTGTGAGACTCTGGGGAAATGACATCTTATTCCAGGGACTGATCTTATCCGCCTTCCTTTAGTTGTGATGAGTTTCTCCTGAAGATCAGAGATCGTTCAATATATACCGAACAAAGATCCTCCCGACTGAGGGAACAGATCTCATCACCTCCTTCACACTCCACGTAGAAAAAAAAGATGTTTTACTATCTGAAGAAAACGTCTATAACTGTCATTGGATCAACTTTCTAATTGCTTCATTCAAATCTCCCGCCGGAATTCTATGTGACGTCACAGACAATCCGCCCTCTTCCCGCCAAATCCGATACGGAGAACCGACCGCATCCATTTACCGGTTTATCTGGGAAGATCGATCAACCCTTCCATTCATTCCAGACTCTGCGATCAGCTAAACATCATTATAAGGACATTGCAAATATTCATATGAAATGTTTTATTTTCCCTCCAATCCTTCATAATACAAAACCCGACAAGATCTAGTTATTAGTTTATTGATTTGTAGAGAAGAGATCAATCAAAAGTCTACAGAACAAGGTGCCTGGAGTTTGCATGTTCTCCCTGTGCCTGCGTGGGTTTCCTCTGGGTGTTCCGATTTCCTCCCACACTCCAAAGACATGCTGGTAGGTGAATTGGCTCCTGTCTAAATTGGCCCTAATATGTGTATATATGAATGTGAGTTAGGGACCTTAGATTGTACGCCCCTTGAGGGTTAGGGACTGATGTGATGTACAATATATATGTAAAGCTCGCAATAAATTGACGGCACTATATAAGTACCTGAAATAAATAACAGCTTTGCTAACATTGTGATCACATGATCACCGGGTCCTGATTACCCTGATTGCACAGCGGGAGGATGAGAAGTGCTTAAAGGTGTGAAAATAATAAAACAAAAAATATATATTTTTTAATTAATACAGTAATTTATAAAATAGAAAAAAATCAGGAAGATACTTAAATGGAGAAAGATAAAAGGAGTTAATATGACCGATTACAGTAGTTTAAGGTTAATAAGGGGTTAAACAAAGGAACATTTAATAAAAATAAATAAATAAACACATATTTGACAGATTGTTTTTAACTGACTTCAACTATAGTTTGAAGTTCATCCCTTTGATCTGTAGATGAATAAACAGAAAGATACAATATTAGCAATGTTTTTCTTCTTATCCTTCTGTTTTAGGGCTGAGCAATGCTGTTTATAAACATCGTTAGGCAGTTTAATTTTTTTTATTGAGCTGAAGGATTAACGTTTTGGGAGGTAGAAAACTAATATAATGATTTATCAAAAAATTTCCTGATCAGATAATTTCCTCCAAAACTATTTATTTTGTTTTTTTTTTTTATATGAAACAACTGTCAATGCCGAGGGCTGGATATTTGTCTGGAACGATCTACACCAGCGGTTCTCAACCTGGGGGTCGCGACCCCTTTGGGGGTCGAACGACGCTTCCACAGGGGTCGCCTAAGACCATCGGAAAACACATATTTCCGATGGTCTTAGGAACCGAGACACCGCTCCTCGCCGCCTCCGCCGCCGCCCCACCGCCGTCTCCAGGTGTGGGCGGGATGACATGCCGCCCCTGTCATCTGGACACACCTCGAGATCAATCCTCGCCTGTGATTGGCCGCCGGCACTGTAGCTCAGGAGAGGCACACAGGCGGCCAATCACCGGCAAGGAGGTGGAGCTTGGAGAGGAGGAGCCGAGCGGCACCGCGAAGATCGAGCGAGTGAAGAGGAGGAGAGCGGCGGAGAAGGAAGACATCTGACAGGTAAGTGTCGGTACCATGGGAGAGGGAGGGAGCGAGCGAGCCCAGGCTGGAGCAGGGGTCTGCAAGGCAAGTATCATTGGTGTCAGTGGGAATAGTGCCCCATCATTGGTGTCACTAATACCAATGATGAGGCATTATTCCCTCCCACTGACACCAACGATGGGACACTATTCCTCCCACTGACACCAATGATGGGGCACTATTCCTCCCCCACTGACACCAAGGATGGGGCACTATTCCTCCCCCCACTGACACCAACGATGGGGCACAATTCCTCCCCCCACTGACACCAAGGATGGGGCACTATTCCTCCCCCCACTGACACCAAGGATGGGGCACTATTCCTCCCCCCACTGACACCAAGGATGGGGCACTATTCCTCCCCCCACTGACACCAAGGATGGGGCACTATTCCTCCCCCTACTGACACCTATGATGGGGCAATATTCCTCCCCCCACTGACACCTATGATGGGGCACTATTCCTCCCCCCACTGACACCTATGATGGGGCACTATTCCCCCCACTGACACCTATGATGGGGCACTATTCCCCCCACTGACACCTATGATGGGGCACTATTCCCCCCACTGACACCTATGATGGGGCACTATTCCCCCCACTGACACCTATGATGGGGCACTACTATTCCCCCCACTGACACCTATGATGGGGCACTATTCCTCCCCCCACTGACACCAATGATGGGGCACTATTCCTCCTCCCACTGACACCAATGATGGGGCACTATTCCTCCTCCCACTGACAGCAATGATGGGGCACTATTCCTCCCACTGATACCAATGATGGGGGACTATTCCTCCCACTGACACCAATGATGGGGCACTATTCCTCCCACTGACACCAATGACGGGGCACTATTCCTCCCACTGACACCAATGACAGGGCACTATTCCTCCCACTGACACCAATGAAGGGGGCACTATTCCTCCCACTGACACCAAGGAAGGGGGCACTATTCCTCCCACTGACACCAATGAAGGGGGCACTATTCCTCCCACTGATACCAATGACGGGGCACTATTCCTCCCTCTGATACCAATGATGGGGCACTATTCCTCCCACTGACATCATTGATGGGGCACTATTCCTCCCAATGACGTGGCACTATTCCTCCTACTGCAAAATTACAGTTATGAAGTAGCAACGAAAATAATTTTATGGTTTGGGGTCACCACAACATGAGGAACTGTATTAAGGGGTCGCGGCGCTAGAAAGGTTGAAAACCACTGATCTACACAATCCCGGCGGGCAGAATGTGTGATGACAGCGATTTGAAATCTGAGCCAATCACAGTTGTGGGCGTTGTCTCCATCAGCCAGTAATGTTTGTCTTACAAGAACTCCATAGAAATGTATCCGGAGATCTCGGTGTCGATGTTTCTAGTGCAGGAAGTGTTTTCTTGTTCTGTAGACTTTTCATTGATCTCTTCTCTACAACTAAATCAACAAACTAATAACTAGATCTTGTCGGGTTTTGTATTCTGAGGGATTGGAGGGAAAACATAAATCTTAATAAACGATCTTTATATGAATATTTGCAATGTCCTTATAATGATGTTTGGCTGATCGCAGAGCCTGGAATGAATGGAAGGGTTGATCGATCTTCCCAGATAAAACGGTAAATGGATGCGGTCGGTTCTCCGTATCGGTTTTGGCGGGAAGAGGGCGGATTGTCTGTGACGTCACATAGAATTCCGGCGGGAGATTTGAATGAAGCAATTAGAAAGTTGATCCAATGACAGTTATAGACGTTTCCTTCAGATAGTAAAACATCTTTTTTTTCTACGTGGAGTGTGAAGGAGGTGATGAGATCTGTTCCCTCAGTCGGGAGGATCGTTGTTCGGTATATATTGAACGATCTCTGATCTTCAGGAGAAACTCATCACAACTAAAGGAAGGCGGATAAGATCAGTCCCTGGAATAAGATGTCATTTCCCCAGAGTCTCACACTGAAAGCATTTTCTATTATTAATGTATAATTGTCATCATAATTAACATGTATAATATATTATTATAAAATAATTATAACATTTTATCATTTAAATGATAACAAATACAAAACTGTTAGTTATTTTAGATTTTGCAGCAAGGTAGCTTGATAATCGACTCGGGGGAGGAGCCACGCCATATATCTACAAATCCTAGATTGTAAGCTCCCAGGATCAGGCCCCCCTATCCCTCTTGTATTGAACTGTATTGTTGCTGTATTGTCTCCCGTTATATTGTAAAGTGCTAAGCAAAGTGTTGGCTCCATAAATCCTGTATAATCACCACAATCACCAGCCGCAACCTCTGCAACCTGGACCCCCGGCCCCTCTCCACTCTGCAGCTGATCGTCTCTACGACAGCATCCTTCCACTGTCATGCCCTGACCTGGCCACTACTGCGTATAACAACCTGCTATCAGCTGCCTTAGACTCGTTGGCACCCCCAACCACACGCTGCACCAGACCCCGAACGCTCCAACCCTGGCAGAATGACCACACAAAAGATCTTAAACAACGTAGAAGCGCACTGGAGCGCCTTTGGCGCAAAAAACTATATCTCCCCAAGCTTTCTCCCTCTACAAATCCGTCTTTCTCACCTACACCTCCTCCCTCCACGCAGCCAAACAAGCCTACTTCGTAACCCTCAATAACACCCTCTCCTCCAATCCCCGTCGGCTCTTCTCCACCTTCAAATCCCTACTCTCCCCCCCCCCACCCCCAGTACCTCACTCACCGCCCACAAGATTGCCGAACACTTCCAGAATAAAATCGATGCAATCCGTAAGGACATCACCAATGCTCAACCCACCTCCCCACCTGGCCTCCCTCCCACCATAGCCCCATCAACTCTCCCCTCTTCTGACCTCGCTCCCACCCACCCACACCGAACATCCCGCACAGCTTCACCTCTCCTACACACCACTCCTTCAGCCCTTCTACCTTTGAGGAGGTCACTAAGGTCTTCTCAAAAGCCTTTCTCACCACTTGCCCCCTTGACCCTGTCCCCTCGCAACTCCTCCGGTCACCCTCCTCCTCTATCCTACGCTCCCTCACCCACATCTTTAATCTCTCCCTCTCTACTGGCACATTCCCTTCCCCCTAAAGCACACGCACATCAACCCCATACTCAAAAAACCCTTCTTGGACCCCACTGACCTGAACAACGTCAGACCCATCTCACTGCTGCCATTCACTTACAAGTTCCTTGAGCACTTAGTTTACAATCGCCTAAGCGCCCACCTCACCGACAACAACCTCCTCGATCCACTACAATCCGGCTTCCGCCCCCTACACTCCATCGAAACCGCCCTACTCAAAATCACTAACGACCTGCTATCCGCCAAAGCTAATGGACACTACTCTGTCCTCCTACTCCTTGACCTCTCCGCAGCCTTTGACACAGTTGACCACCCCCTCCTCCTTAACAAATTACACTTCCTTGGCATCAGAGACTCCGCTCTCTCCTGGCTCTCCTCCTCCTATCTCTCCAAACGCTCTTTCAGTGTTACCTATAACCCTGCCACCTCCCCCTCTCTCCCCCTCTCTGTTGGGGTCCCCCAAGGTTCTGTCCTCGGGCCCCTTCTCTTCTCCATCTACACCTCCTCCCTTAGCAAACTGATACACTCCCATGGCTTCAACTATCACCTCTACGCCGATGAAACGCAAATTTACCTCTCCACACCTCACCTCACCCCTTCATTCTCCGCCCGTATCACCCACCTACTGAACAACATATTGGACTGGATGTCGCTCCACTTCCTCAAACTGAACCTTTCCAAAACTGAAATCTTAATTTTCCCCCCAGCCCGCACCCCCCCCTCCCTTCCCACCCTCTCCAACACGACCAACAATGCTACCATCAGTCCCACCAGGCAAACCAAGGTCCTAGGTGTCATCCTAGACTCTAACCTGTCCTTCCAACCCCATGCCCAATCGCTGACTACCGCATGCAGGTTCCACCGCAACATCTCCAAAATACGCTTGTTCCTAACCCCAGATACTACTAAACAACTCGTTCACTCCCTTATTATCTCACTCCTGGACTACTGCAACTCCCTTCTCACCGGCCTACCCCAACACAGGCTATCCCCGCTTCAGTCTATACTCAGCGGCCAGACTCATGCACCTTACCAGCCGCTCCACTTCTGCCACCCCCCTCTGTTATTCCCTCCACTGGCTCCCGATTGCCCAATGCATAAAATTCAAACTACTAACACTGACATACAAGGCCATTCATGGCGCTGCCCCAGGCTACCTCACCAACCTGATACCCAGTGTCATGGAAATTTTGTATTATTGGTCGAACTTTAAATGTGTCATATATTCGTGTTATTCATATGTCTCTCGTGTGGCTTAATTAAAGCTCTGAAGGCTGCAATTGGGCCATGCGCATGTACAATGTATGTATTACAGTACTCAGCTTGGTAATGGATGAGATGGCAGATCTGCGCTTATAGACGGCGTGTATACCACCACGGCATTCCATGCGAATGCTGCTGTCAGTAGACCGTGGGCCTGTATCCACATATCAGCAGCATGGTACCACGTGGGCTTCATAACGCAATGCGCAAGCGGTGTGAACTCCGTGTGTAGGCTTATGCATATCTTACAACCCATTACTAATCTGAACTGTATCTCGGATGGATGTGTTTTAATAAAGATCGTATCGGGCCCATCCAGGTACAGACTGGTATTTTTAGGGAGTGCTTGTGCAGAGAATTTTACATACCAATAGAAGCTAGTAGGACAGGAAATATGACCTCAGATGGCTCATAGGGGGGAAGGGGAGGAAGTCTGCTGACCTCAGAAGACTCATGGGGGAGGACCAGTGATA